CAAATGGTCCATCCAATTGAAGATGTGTATAATGTCATGTGGGGCATCTTCAGGTGGTGATGCAGACATTTGGCTGTTGACCTTGGCCTAGTTTGATAAAGAGCTGCAGTTGCGCAGTAAGCAAGCAAATAAGCATAAACAATAAAGTTTTCCCCAAGTTATATAGTTCATTCTCTAAAGCCTCCAGCACACTTCCCACCCCACAAAGCCCAATTAATTCACCCTCCCCCCTCATTACTATGACAGCCAAAAAGATAGTGAAAGACAGGAGCCTTGAAGGCTGACACATTCCATGGATGAAAAGCTTAAAGGGGGAAAGCAACTCAAGAAGTTTGAGAAAATATGCTAAAATATTAATATAAAAGCCCACTCCAGCACAGTATCACTGGGAAAAAAAGAAATCCAAGAAGAAACTAACATGGTTGCACAAAGAAATCTCTGATAAAGTGAAATACAAAAAGGATAAATATTAAACAATGCAAAGAAGGACATATAATGAAGGCAGAATACTAGCAAATCTGCAAAGATGAGGTTGGGAAAGCTCCGAATGAACTAAAATTTGCAACAAATAATAATAGTAATAGTAATAATAATTCTTTCAACATGCAGAAACCAAGTTAAAAAAACAACAACCAGATCAGTGCATGGAAGATGGCAGGAAGTGGCAGGTCGAAAGCAGAAGTGCTTAATTTTTCTTTGTATCTATCTTCACACAAAAATAAAAAGTAGCCCAACCTGCCAAAAACAGAACTGCAAAAGACAGACTCAGAATTCAACTTAAAATAGGTAAAACATTAGGCAAGAGTGGATGAGTTCAAATCACTAAGACCTGAAGCAGTGGTGGTATGCTACCAGTTTGGACTGCTTCAGCCAAACCGGTAGTAAAAAAAAGCCTCCGACGACCAGCTGAGAGGAGGAAAAAAAGCCTCTGACATCAGCTGAAAGGAGAAAGAAGAGAAAAGTGCAGGATCGGCCCTTCCACCCACCCCTGTGCTTTTCTATATTCTCTCAGCTGATTGGTGCTGCAGGCCTCAGCTGATGTGTGGAAAGCTGAGCGCACACTAGGGGCATGAGCGTTAGGTGCGCATGTGCGCACATGATCATCGAACCAGTAGTGGAACAGGTAGGAACCCACTGCTGACCTGAGGGATTACATTTCAGTTCTGAAGGAGCTGGCAGACATGATTTCAACACTATTGAACCTTGTCTTTCAAAGATCCTGGAGCACTGGGAAACTAAGAGGACTAGAAAAGAGTTGATTCCCATCTTCAAAAAAAAAAGTGGGGGGAGACAGATCCAGGAAACCACAGATCGATCAGCCTAACATCAATACTTTGGAAGATCTTGGAAAAGATAATCAAGCAGCAGATCTGCAAATATAAAGAAGCAGTTTAAACCGACCAGAATGAATAAAGTTGCTTCCTTCAAAGGCTCATGTCCCTTTGTTCCTCCTTTATGTCTTATGGGAGGGGCCAAGCCTTACTCCCGAATCACCCCTTTTGTTTTAACTGTTCTTGCCTTCTGGCAGCTCTACGCAAACGCACATTGGGAACAGGCTCCCCCTGTTCCTCTGCCTTGCTAATGTCAAGTTCTGGAGGCTCTGGAGTCAGCACATAACTCTCACATGGCCTGGCCCCATCTCTGTGTCAGACACAGATCCCTCATCCAAGCCCTCCCCAGACTCCAGGACTGGCCCATGTTCCTCCTGACTCCTCTGTCCCAGCTCCACAGGCCGATTCTGGACCACAACAAAAGGACAGGAAAGAACAGGGGTGAGCAGGAGGACCCACATGCTCATCGCAGAAAATCGGTTCATAGCCAGCTGATCATTGGAACAAGGGGTTGCCCGAACTGGTCCAAACTGGTAGAATCCCACCCCTGGGTAGGGAATTGAATTAGAAGACATCCAAGGTCCCTTCCAGCTCTGTTATTCCTGAATCTGTAGTTTCCTGAATCCATTTCCCCCCTTTTTGAAGATGGGAACCAATTTCAATTTTATTAATTTATCCACTCATTAAGTTACAGTTCACATCTGATGAAGTGAGCTATGAAAGCTTGTATCTTTACTATTATTCAATAAAATAAAATAAATAGTTATTACAACATTGAATAAATGCCTTATTAAAGGTTGCACCAGTCTCCTTGATTTTTGCTCAAGATAATGTTACAAAATGTTATATCATTTAAAAAACAGAAATAATATTAACCAAACTAAAACCCTACTAATTTGAATAGAAAAATAGCTGAGAGTTTTAGTGAATCACATTTCATACAAGCACATTCTGTTCTTCACAGGGTAAACATGCATAATGTCATTTCATCCAGTTCTAACTGTGCAGGGTTCAGGTGGAGTTGGGATTCTTTTCCTCCTCACTCACTCTTTCTTTCTTGGAAAAACTTTTAGTCAGAAAAGCTTTTGGGACATGGTTGACAGTTCCTTTTCTAAGACAGGTCTTTCACATCTATCATACCTCTTCCTTGGGAGCATTTTTATACAAACTGGGGGTGCATGGTTACTTGTTCTGCACTGTGAATTGGCTTGGGAGAAGTATCCTTCAGCAAATTGGCCAGGAAGAAGGTGCATTGCAGGAGCATCAGTGAAAAATTGGTAAAGAAGGAGCACAGACAGAGGATCAGCCAAGAATAAATGCCCACAATGGATGAGCTGCAGTTGGGGGGCCATGGTGGAATGGGCACAGTTATGTTCCCATGGTTAATTGTCCTATACCAATCTTCCTCGATTTCAGATTCTCTACCAAAGGCCAGGAGTTAGAGGGTATTGAGCAGTATAACATTCAGATAACAGATAATCAGAGTTGGAAGGGACCTTCTAGTCCAACCAAGAGGGAGACCCTTCACCATTTCTGACAAATGGCAGTCCAATCTCTTCTTGAAAGTCTCAAATGATGGTGATCCCACAACTTCTGAGGGCAAGGTGTTCCATTGGTTGATTGGTCTCATTGTCAGAAAGTTTCTCCTTATTTCCAGGTTAAATCTCTCCTTGTTCAGTTTCCTTCCATTATTCCTTGTCTGGCTTACAGGTGCTTTAGAAAAATAGCTTGACCCTCTCTGTGACAGCCCCTCAAATATTGAAAGACTGCTATCATGTCTCCCTTGATCCTTCTCTTTACTAGACTAGCCAGGCCCAGTTCCTGTAACCGTTCTTTGTATGTTTTAGTCTCCAGTCCCCTAATCATCCTGGTTGCTCTTTTCTGTACTTTTTCTAGAGTCTCAACATCTTTTTTATAATGTGGTGAACAAAATTGGATGCAGTACTCCAGGTGTGGTCTTACTAAGGCTTTATAGAGTGGTATTAGTACCTCCCTTGATCTTGATTGTATCCCTCTGTTAATACAACTGAGGATTGCATTAGCTTTTTTGGCTGCTGCTGCACACTGCTGGCTCATATTTAGCTGGTTGTCCACTAAGACTCCAAGATCCCTCTCACAGTTACTGCTATTGAGCCTGGTTTCACTCAGTCTATATGTGTACTTTTGGTTTTTCTTGCCTAAGTGTAGGACTTTACTTTTCTCTACATTGAATTTCATTTTGTTAGTTACAGCCCAATGTTCTCATCTGTCAAGATCCATCTGGATCTTGAGTCTATCTTCTTGGGTGTTAGCTATTCCTGCCAGCTTAGTATCATCTGCAAATTTGGTAAGTTCCCCTTCTATTCCCTCATCCATGTGGTTAATGAAGATATTGAAGGGTACTGGGCCTAAGACAGAACCTTGTGGCATTCCACTGCTTACTTCCCTCCATGCAGACTCAGACCCATTAAGGACTACTCATTGAGTACGATTTGTCAGCCAGTTGTGAGTCCATCTAGTGGTGGTGCTATCTATTCCACTTTTTTCTAGCTTACTAAGAAGTTGGTTGTGGTCTACTTTGTCAAATGCCTTGCTGAAATCTAAATATATTATATCCACAGTATTTTGCTGGTCTACTAATTTAGTCACTCTGTTAAAGAATGAAGTAAGACTGATTTGGCATGATCTGTTCTTAACAAACCCATGCTGATTGCTAGTTATTACTTTACTTGTTTCTAGATGGTAGAAACAAGTTTCTAGATTGGTAGATCTGTTTCTTTATTATCTTTTCCAGTATCTTCCCGGGTATTGATGTTAGGCTGATTGGTCTATAGTTTCCTGTGTCTGTTTTTTTTCCTTCTTTTTTTGAAGATGGGAACCACATCTGCTCTTTTCCAGTCCTCTGGTAGTTCCCCAGTGCTCCAGGATTTTTGAAAGATGATGCAGTGGTTCTGAGATGATCTCTGCCAGCTCCTTTAAAACTCTGGGATTTAATCCATCAGGCCCCAGTGATTTGTGTTCATCAAGATCAGACAAGTGTTCTCTTACTTTTTTGTTGTTGCTTATTTTAACTTTTATTTCTAGTCTGTCTTTTACAGTAATGTTTTTGGTTGGTTGAGCTATACTTTATTTTTGCGTGAAGACCGATGCAAAGAATGAGTTAAGCAGTTCTTCTCTCTGTTACTTCCTTGCCGTCTTCTCTCTTTAGTGGACCGACTGTTTCCTTGATTTTTTTCTTGTTATTTATATGTTGGAAGAAACTTTTTTTTATTATCTTTGACTTTTGTTGCAAGTCTTTCTTCGTTCTGAGCCTTTGCCATCCTGACTTCATCTTTGCAGATTCTGGCTATCTGCTGATATTCTGTCTTAGTTTTATGTCCTGCTTTCCATTTTTTGTATTTGTCCTTTTTTTCTTTCAATTTGCCAGAGAGATCTTTGTGCAGCCATGCTGGCTTCTTCTTGGATTTCTTGTTTTTCTTTCTCAGTGGTACTGTGCTGGTCTGGGCTTCTATGACCATACTTTTCAGAGGTTCCCAAGATTCTTGAGTTGCTTTCCACTTTAGGATTTTCATCCATGGAATCTTTCCCAAGTTCTCTCTGAGTTTGTTAAAATCAGCTCTTTTAAAATCCAAGACTCTGGTGTCATTATGTTCTATTACTTGTGTTTGTGTTATGTTGAATTCTAGTATGACATGTTCACTCTCACCCAAGGTTCCTGCAGTTTCAACTTGCTGTATCACTTCTTATTTATTATTTATTTATTTATTTATTTAGTCAATTGCTTACAAGATAATAGATATAAGTACTGTATAAACATACTGTAGTTATGAATACATGGATACATATAAGAAAATAAAAGAAACAATAGGACTGGGATGGTAAGCACTTTGGTGCGCTTATGCATGCCCCCTCTTAGGAAAGGGGTGAGGTCAATAATAGACAGTCTAAAGTTAAAGTTTTTGGGGTTTGGGGAAGAAACCACAGAGTCAGGTAGAGTATTCCAGACATTGACCACTCTGTTGCTGAAGTCACTGTCTATAAGATCGTTGTTTATAAGATTGTAGTTGCTGTTTTTGAAGTTATAATTGGGGATTATGTCATTGTGGTGATTTTTGTGTGGACATATGTTGAGACAAAAGTCAATCATGTTGTGGTCACTATTGGAAAAGGGTTCTATAATTTGTATTACATAAATTGAATTCAAACTATTGCAGAAGATGAGATTGAGGCAGTTGTTAAGTCTAGTATTGTTGGTTACTAGTTGTTCCAATCCCAGATTTGTTACAGTATTGTAGAAGGCTGCATGTATGGGTTCAGTGTTACATTCATTTAGGGTCCAGGTAATATGAGGTAGATTGAAGTCACCAAGAAAGATAAAAGTATGTGGGCAGGATGTTGCCCATGTTAGTAGTGAATTTAGCTTGTTTACATGTTCGATGTCAGGGGCTCTGTAACATAGTAAGAATCGAAATGTGATATTTAAGGACAATTCACAGACAATGGTTTCCGGAAGAGCTCCTGGGTAACTTGGATGTTTTTTAGATATAAGGACTTTTTATAGAACATAGCAACACCACCTCCTCTACGGATTTCACGATCTGATCGGTAAACATGATAATCTCTTATTGAGGTAACGGAGTCAGGGAGAGATGTGTTGAGCCATGTTTCACAGACAAATATAGTGTCAAATTTTGCATATTTAGTAAGAGGAGAAATTCAGGTATTTTATTCACAAGGCTTCTTGCATTGAGTAGCTTGCATTTAAGGCCATTTGTAGTTTGAATTGAGGTAGTTAGGGGCATGCATGCCTAGTCTTGGGTGATGGTGGATTGGTTGAAGTAGGCTTGGACTCTGGGTTGTGGGTTGTGTGACTTACTTTTGATACAGTCAGCATGGTAGTCAATGTACAGGTCCTTCTCTCCGTTGTCTAGACATTTTTTTTAGTTCTGTGTGGAGTTCGTGGGAGCGGGCATGTTGCTGTATGGTTAGGTCAGGGCGAGAACGAAGGTTCTTATGGTTGGTGTTGCTTTTGGCAAGTGAATTAATAGTATAAATAAATTTACGTTTGCTTGATTCATTTTTGCAAATGACCCTGCAGAAGCGTGGGGCCACAGAGCCGTCATTGTATTTGTACCCATGGCCATCTCTGGTTATTTCAATGATATCTTCAGGAGAGATGTTTGTTGTATTTGAGTTGCTTATGATGTCACGAACTTTGGTGATGTCATCTGATTCGTTGGTGGGAGATGATTGATGATTGGTAGTAACTGATGATGTTGCAAACAATTGTGATGTCATCATTGTTATTGATGTTCTCTAGACTGAATAAAATGGCATTTGGATGCTTCCGTTCACGCTCAGAAGTTTCTCTGACGAGGGTTGTGATATCATTATTTTTTGGATTTATGTTTTTTGTGGATTGGGTTGTGGTTGTTAAGTAGTGGTATGGTTTGTAGCTATTGGATGTTCGGGTTTTTGTGTTGTGTCTTTTTTTCCCCAAGGTTATTTAATTTTTCTTTTAAAGTGTCCAGGGATGTTACTATGGTGTCAAGGGATGTTATTTGTATTTCTATGATATCAACTCTTTCAAACAAGGTTAAATGTTTGTCCAGTTTGGGTTTGCATGATGGGCAGAGATATTGAAATGCACGTTTGGATGATTCTAGGTATTGAATCACTTGCTTGGTCAATTCCAAGCAGCCATGATGAGCATAGTTGCCACATAGAGAACATTTGGTGGAATTTTCATTAACATTTAGAATTTCAAAGCACATAAAGCATGTGTAGGAGTCTTGTGGTTTATTGTGTGGATTTCTTTCTCTCTAGGTTGTGGTTTGGCATTGGATTTTTTTACTGGCATGGTGGGTTTGTTGAGATAATACATTGATTAAATTGCTTAATGAATAATTTTGGGTAATCAATATAGCCAATATCACACCAGTTAATCAATTACAATAATATCTCTAGTCAAATCATTATGCTAAGCAACAATCTGTCTAATCAATTAATTACACTAATCACTAATAACACTATTCAATTAAATTATCTAAATCATTAATTTTACTAATTAATTAAATTACATGAATCCTGATTTTTTACACTAAACAGTTATCACACTATTTGCACTAAACACTCTAATCACTCTAATCAATTAAAACAATAAATCAATTAAACCAATGATAAATTAATTATTTTATAGAAATTGATTATCTAATCATTGATATAGGTAATGAAATAGGTAGGAAAGTTATAAGTTTTGATGTAATGAGAGTCAGCAAGTAAAGGGTTAATTGTTGCTGATATGTGATCCACAGAGTGGGTAGGACTCTAAGAAGGACTTTTCAGGTGACAGTATATCTCTGATCAGGGAGTCTTTACCCAGGGAATCTTGGTGAGGTGGGGTTGGAAGGCAAATGTTTATTTTGTTTGAAATGGCTTCAAGTGATTGATTTTTGGTGATTTCATTTAAATGGAGACTGTAGACATCATTCCATCATCGGAATTCACAATCAATCTCAGTTTCAAAAGGCAGTTTTCCTGAATAAAAACCTTCTTCACACCTCTTCTTCTCATCTAGCCCCCCCTTTTTTCCCCTCCTTTAATCACTCTTTTCTCAAGCTGCCATTTAACTTCCAAAGTTAGAGGACAAAAACATAAATTAAGCCACTGCTGCTTAATCTCCACACTCACCCCTTCCGCTCTGGAGTCTTCACTTTTTAAGTTGTTTCTGACTCGGGTCCACAGTAAATCTTCAAGCCGTTTATCAGCTCCTTCCTCCCACTGAAAAATGCACCTCCCATCTATAAGGAGCCGGGGGAGATACTCACCCGCAGGTAGGTTGCTTCTATGTTTGCAGTCCTTGCTGGCAGTTGCCGCAAACCCACAGTTTCTTCTCTGTTTGTTTGAATTAAGTCCACTATGGCTGTCCCTCTAGTTTCACCCTCTATCTTTTGCACAACAAAGTTGTCAGCTAGGTTGGTTAGGAACTTATTTGATTTCTCACTTGGTGAAGAATTAGTTTTCCAATTGATATCAAGATAATTGAAGTCTCCTATTACTATTGTTGTGTGTTTCCTGCATATGTTTGCTAGTTGGTTGGCAAAAAGGATATCTATTTTTTTCTGCTTGATTGGGTGGCCTATAATATACACCTATGGCCCTGTCATTCTTTTTTTTTCTTTTATGTTGACCCATATGCATTCTAGGAGGTTTTCATCTTTGGTTTCATGCATTTCTGTAGCAATATAGTGGTCCTTTACATACAGTGCAACTCCACTTCCTCTTTTATGGGGTCTGTTTTTTTGAATAGTTTGTGTTGTGATTCCGGCATCTGCTACAGATTTTTTGAATGGCAGCTCCAGCGAGGAGGACTTATATGAATCAGCAA